CTTTCTTTCTTTCTTTCTTTCTTTCTTTCTTTCTTTCTTTCTTTCTTTCTTTCTTTCTTTCTTTCTTTCTTTCTTTCTTTCTTTCTTCTCCCTCTCTCCTCCCTCCTCCCTCCTTCGCTCTCTCCTTCCCTCCCTTCCTCTCTCTCTTTTTCCCATAACCTTTTATTTTAAGATAAGAGTACATTTACATGCAGTTGTAAGAAATAATATAGAGATCCCCTCTGCCCTTTACCCAGTTTCTCCCAATGGTAACATCTTGCAAAACTATAGAACAGCATCGCAATCAGTACATCGGCACTGATGCAGTCAAAATACAGAACAGTTGCATCACCATGGGGAGCCCTCCTGTTGCCCTTTCATAGCTACACCCTCCCCATTTTCCCCAGTCTGTGCTTTTTGAAGAACACTTCGATGCCAATAGTAAAAATGGTTTAGTGGGCACGAATGTCCATCTTAGCCACGATGTTTAACACCCAGGGATCAGAGCCAGTTTTAACAGGTGAGTGCTATCTTTTGTCCTGGTATATTCCCATTTCTGCTGTGCTTATACCCTCAGGGAGATTCTTCTGTATTTCTTTCCTGACTGTCAGCTCCTATCAGAATTTGGCTACACATCTGTGAAGGAACTTATAGCAACTTCTGAGGTAAGCTTTTTGGAACACTGAGGAAATAATAGAAGAGCCTGAGTTTAATTTTCAGTGAAGAAAAATGGAAAGTGTTACCAGAAAGAGGACCTAGAATGGCTTAAGTGAATGAAGATGAGGATCTTTATACCAAATGGATGACTGAAAATTAAAACCCAGTGTGGCCAAGGGTTAAATAAGCTTTTAAAAGATCTTACACACTGAGAATAGTCAGTAGCAGAGATAAAAAGAAATGGGACATCATCCCTCACTTCCCTCCCTCGCACCAAAAAAACAGAGTTTCTATCTCATAGACACACTTCACCTTTTATGAGGAGCTGAGGTGAGAACTGGTTGGGTCAGCCATGTTTGGTTCTCAGAGCACTGGTCTCGTTAGCATCACTGAGACATCACAGGGAAATATGAAGAAAATTGTATTTACCAAATCTCATCTCAGGGACAGTAGCTTACATGATTGGAAGGAAAACTTTGATAGGCTACCTAGGGTGTGCAGGGTGGCCTCACACTGGCTTACAATGGGTGGTCCCCAGGCTGTTGAGTCAGCGGAGGCTGTGGTGAAGCTGAGTGAGGTGTGCAGGCCTGAGGCCGCCATCGCCGCTCACAGGCGAGGAAGAGGAGAGCCCACCTGGAGCGGGAGGGTGGGCGGGCTCCTTGCCTACCCTCATGCTCAGTGTTACTTGTAAGGGTGGATACATGTGGAAAGGCTATCAGTGAAAAGAGCACTAAATTATTAATTGGGCAGAGGTGCCATATGCTTTCATCTGATCCTGGGTGAAATCCTTCATTTTCTAGGCTACAATCACTGTTCCTGCTTCTTTACCTTGTACTTGCACTTCCTCCTCTCCTGTCAGGCTTTTAATTCCACTACTTCACTGTAAATGTCTAGTCAGGTCACCAGTGGCTACTGTGCTGACAAATGCTGTGGTCACTTCTCTTACCTGACCTCCCAGAGGCCTTCAATGCAGTCAACCCCTTTCTCCTTCTTTAAACACTTCCTTCCTTAGAGCGTCCATAACAACACACTTCTCATTTTCTTGCATCCCTCTAGTCTTTGCTGGCAACTCCTTCTCTATGTGTTTGCTAACATGTCTGAGGACTCATTCCTGGACTAGTTTCTCTCCTCTATTAAAGACTGGGTGACCTGCACTAGTCTCTGGCTTCAAATTCTATCCCATATGCTAGTGACTCCCAGTCTATTTCTGTGATGTTCCCATCCAAGAAATCCAGACTCCACTTTCGTAACATCTTTTTGAATATTTGTTTATCATTTACTTTTCCTTCACCTGGGTTTTTTTTCTCCATTTGCAATTTCTTAAATCATGCTGTATTAATTATGTGAACTGCCTTTGTCATTTTGGGGTGGAATAGGTTAGGTATATCTTAGCTAACTAATTTAATTAGACCCAGGCTTAAAAGAAACACAGTATCAGTGTTGGCCAGCTCTAGGCTTTGATACGTCTTTTATACTAAATATTGCATGTTATAACTCTGTTGTAGACATCTGAGTCTCTAAAAGTTAATATCCTGTTTTATTATAATTTACGAAAACAGCTGGAGCAATGCCCAGAGCAGACAAACAGAAAGCTGAAAATGTGTTTCAGCCAGGTAAGCTTCCTTTCAATGTATTCATTTATATTCTAAGTGATCCTGTATTCCAAAGGAGAAGAAATATACATTTCTAAATGTTAGATTTGAGAGGAAATCAAATTTGCATTCACTTATCAAGACAGATTAATGTGTAGCATATCAGATGTCACAAAGCAACATCTTTTTGAATTTTAAAATGCAAATGTTTCCACATCATGAAGCTTATGAAACATTTGAAGTAGGACTATTATTTGCATAAGAAGCATGACATTCTGAGTCTTTGAGAAACAGATTCACTGAATTCTTGAGACACTGGGCTAAACCAGAAGTTGTTTGTAGATTAAAGTTTTTAATTACAGTAAATCCTCTTTTAATGTTGCCAAGAGCTTCTGTGGCTTTAACTGAAACCATGTTAAATGAAACCAATTTTACCATAAGTTATTGATGTAAACAAGAGTTAAGTTCCTATGACATCTCATCAATTTTATAAAGAAATGACTTTGAATGAACAATGTTGTTTGAGGCCCTCCTATCTTCTGGACAAGTTTTTATCTCTCTGGAATTTATTTATTTATTTGCTTGTTTGTTTTTGGTATCTACCAATAGTTTTTAAAGTTTATAATTTTTCCATTATAAAAATAGTTATAAATATAATTAATGCCAATAAAAGAGGGTAAAATAAATTTTTAAAAATCATCCGTAGTTCCAAACCATTTCAAGATCACTGCTATTAATATTTTGGTGTATTTCATTACAACCTCTGTCTCTCTTTTTCTCTGAATAGATGTTTTTTATAGTCTTTGAATAATACCGTGTATCTAGTTCTTAAAGATTTTTGGGTGCGGGGGGGAAGAATTCATAGTCTTTCAGTTCTACTAGAGAAATATCTCAAAATGTCATATGCCCTGAACTCCCTTAACTCACACTCAAGGGAACTGAGACTCCAAGATGTGATCTTGGCCAAGGTGACACAGGGGATTAGTGTTGGAGCCAGGAGAGCCACTGAGGTCCCCAGATTCATCATAGAGGCCACAACAGTCTAGAACTTTTTGTGTCACCAGGATCAATATTAAGATGTTAGCTCTCCACTGGCACTTGTGTTTGTTCAAACAGGTGCACCAGTTCCATCAATAGCACATATACTAGCATCTTCTTCCATGTGCTTATGCTGTTAAAGAGAAAACCACAGCTCCAAAATAGCATCCCTTATGTTAAAGTCCATGATAATAAACCTAAATTTAATACCTGACTTAATTGCTTTTTCAACCTCTTCCCAGAAATATATTCTTAATCAACCAATCCGTAATTTTGTGGTTGACACCAATAAGGTAATCTGTCATGTGGTCCCTGTCCATTCTCAGAGAGGAGACAATTTGCATGATAAAAACCCTTGCCATTCCCTTCCCCCCAAAATATGTCTGGATCTAAAAATAATCTTTTCTTTTGTTAATAACTCCCTTGTCAGACCCTTCTTTCTTTAAAAACCTTCCGTTTTGTATAGCCCCTTAGAGAGCTTTTCTAGTTGCTAGATGGGATGCTGTTGGATTCATGAATTACTTAATAAAGCCAATTAGATCTTCAAATTTACTCAATTAAATTTTGTTTTTTGACAATGCTTACAGAGATTTTCTGGAAAACTATCACAATAATATGCAAATCTCTAAAGACTAGGAGGTGAATTGTGCACTCCTAATTGTGCAAAACACAACTATGAGCTCAGGTATTGCCTCATCTCTTTTGTAAGAAATGGACTCTATTTGAATAATCTTGTTTTATAAATAAAATGGAATTGTGAAGTAGGTTCCAAAAGACATATAACTAATTAAACTTGAAATGAAGATTACAACCTAAGTCAGATTTCTTCTTAGAAAGGCTGTATCACAAAATACTTGAATTTTAGTATGTGCCTAAATTTAACACCCCTGTTGATATATTTGCCTCTGATATTTCTGACTGAGTGCCTACTGGACTGTGATAAGCAACTGGAAATGAAGGAATATTGTTGTTCTTAATTTCCCATATTGTTCAACTGAAAAGTGAGTTTATTTTTGGAATAATATCTTGTTGAAAAAGCAAAAACAATAATTGAACATTTTCAACTTGAAGACCTACTTGTCAACATTTCCAAAATAGAACACAAGACAAAGTTTTCTTTCAATATATTTGACCCTCTACTAGTACTAATATTACCATCAATGAATGTAAAACTGTGATTGATCAAGAGCTACTGAACTAGGCACTTAACTAGGCCTTTTATGTATGTTACTTTTGGGAGGTGGGTGCCACTATCTCCATGTTAGTAATGAGGAACTGGAGAGTCAGAAAGATAACTTTCCAATGTCATGATGCAAGTAAGTAGCAAACTCAAGATTGGAGCCGAGATTTGTCCAAAGCTGTTTTCACTACACTACTCTCTTACATCTTCTTATCCAGATGGTAATACTTCATATTTGTGATAGTTTGCACATATTACTTGCAATAGGTATACTAAGCTTGTAAGCCTGTTGGCATATAAGAATTATTGTTTGCTTCCTATACACCTTTACATTACATGATGAGATGTATATGCTGGAAATACTGACAGTGAAATATCGGGGGTGGAGAGGGTGCATGTGGTAGGTGGTTCTTTAACATTCCATCAGGAATTGTACCAACTGTAAGCCTGTGGCAGCCAGCTTGAAGAATTACCAGTAACGTTCCTGAATCTTCCCACAGATCTTCATCTACTGGTTAGGAAACTCTGATTTAAATACTTACACTATAAAATTAGAAATTTGCTAAGAATTGGATTGTTATACATCTCAGTTTATCCAAGCTTATATATGCCCTTCATGTCTATTTCTAAATGATAATTTTTCAGTGTCTACACTATCAGTGATGGAGTCAGGTTTTTGGGTCTTGGAGGCCATACTATATAGGATAAGTGTTTATTCCAGGTGAATGGTATGAGCGAAGATGATGAATAGAATTTCCTTAATGTTCAGGGCAAGTGGGGTTCAAAGAATTAAAGCAAGATAACTCAGGAGACCATGAGTTCTTGTAGAAGCTGAGGTGTTGTAAGCAAAACACAGAACAGTTGGAATCATGACTTCCCTAACATGAAACTGCTGGTCTTAAGACTTTATTAATGACTGGTATCTTTAGGTGGTGGTTATTAAAACTATTCAAATCATTTCTTGAAAGACACTAGAGAACAAATCTCTGCACCTTGCTTTAAGGTGTGTATTTTTAAGAAAGAGAGCCACACCTAAGCCCCAGAGGACCCTTGATAACTCTCGGACTTCTTTCGTCACTTTACCCTGACCACATCGGTGGTTTTCATAACTATTATTGGAGTAGTCAGTGATTCATGACAGCACTGGTGGTCCTGCACAACTCACCCGAATCTCCATCTTTTATTCTTTCCTCTCATAAGCCATCTGGTCCATCCAGTTTGGAGTTGTTGCTTCAGTACTAGACTGGCCTGTCTCTGAGCCTTCCCACTTGAGGTCCCCCAGAATACTTTTATCTACTCTCCCAGTCCACAGCTGGCCCGTTGAAATCCTGCCTATTCATGTAGAACCTGGTCAATGCTACCTTCTACATCAAGCCTTCCTTAGTCTCTCCAAGGGAAGTGAATTTTGACTTTCAGTGTTCTGAGAGAACCTTAAAACTCTATTTTAGCATTAATTAAATATTCTGCCTTGTATTATAGTAGATTTTTGTATTTTATGTTTTCCCCAATTAGATTATAGAATCTTTGAAGATAACAATCTTCTCTTATCAAACTCTGTATCCTGGTTGCATTCAGTCAGTACCTTTGAATGCATCTGGACCTTAACTGTTTGTCCATTGAATCAAAGTTAATTGTTCCTGCTGTAGCACCTGCCCACATAAACACTCACATGTATATCCCTGCAAGTAAGTACAAAATCTATAAGTCTTGTAGGCCTGCTTTAGTTTGCACAAAGTTGTTAAAATTCTGGAACTCCAGAGATGCCAGAGCTCTGACTTTTTAAATTCAAGGCAGGCAGTTCAAATTTCAGTTGAATATTCTTTCTTTCAAATCCTAATTCTGTTCTGAATTAATGTACTTCAAAAAGAATTCCATTTTTTATCTGCCACAAATACCTCTACAAGAGTAAGTTTATCCAGCAGAACTAAGCCTCTCATCTTGTTACAATTCTCTACTGACCTTAATTAAAATGTTAATACAACTAGAAGCCCTTTTATAGTGAGCTTCAAAGGTTGTCAAAATTGCTACCTTTTATGGAAACCTCCTGGAGATGTTAGCCTGAGAAAGGCAGAAGAATAAATCAGGAAACAGACTGGTAGTGTTTGAAGGAAATATAGTTTGCTGGTTACAAAATAGTGAACTTTGAGAGACTGAATGTGACTTTGAATGTAGTTGCTATATAAATATTCTTAATGTTGTACTGTATTACAGTATTGTCTTTTGAACTTATTTTGAAATAATTATAGATACACAGAAATTTACAAAATAGTAGAGACTTGTTGTACCCTTCACCCAGTTTTCCCCAATGCTTACATCTTACGTAATTATAGTACAATATCAAAACCAAGACATTGAAATTGGTAAAATGTGTGTCTTGTTTTATCATACTTGTAGATTTGAGCAACCACTACTGAAGTCAGGATACAGAACTTGCATCACCACAAAACCTCCTTTTGCTCACCCTTTATAGTCACACCCCT